CATCAGATTTTCAGTACAAAAACATGATTATGAACTCACTAGCTTTATGCTGATACTCTCTCAAACTGCTTGTATTCTCAGGAAAACAGTAGACATGCACCTCCTGGAGTTTTTGAGAAGATTGAGCGTATAGAGCCACGTCTTTTACTTTTGATTATACTTTAATTGTATAAAGTCAAGAACTAAACATGTGTAATCACCTTTTTATATATATTCAATGTAATGGTTATGTTTACTTTGATTATTGTAATGCAATGGTTGTGATACTATACATGACGTCATCCACCCCTGAACGTTTTCGTTGTTCCGGTTTGGGGGTGTGACATGTGCAATGGATCGTTGGGATCCCAATGCTCCGGCCTTGGGTCATTCATGGAGAATGCTATGTTGAGGACGTTTTGGTGGTACAACCTTGCATCGGGATATCGACTTTGGTTGTTGATGCATGGGAGAGGCTCGGTGATGCTAAGTATTTCCACCCTTTTCTCTCGGTCTCTTCCTCCATCCTTTTGATTTTTGGGCTTATGTTTATCCTCGTCGAATTTTGTCCTGAGGTATTTTGCTATATCAACAATGTTCCCTACTAGTTGCTTCTCATCAATCTCCATCTTTAGCATTATACACTCGTTTGTATCATGATTTTTGCTTTTATGGTACTCACAGAACTTAGGCTTGTCTTTGTTTTCCTTGGCTGGGGCTTTGTTGATCGCGTGAACGTCGGTATGACCGCTTTTTGCCATCGTCCCGGTAGAACGGTTTGTATCATCTAGACATATGTCGGGGGTGACGATTGTGCCGCTGCTGGTCGCCATCTTGCCTTCCATGATAGGTCAAGATTGGTCGTGACACCGCTTCCTCCTGCTTGGCGTATGCATTAGTTATGGCTTTAATGTTGGCTTCGTTTCGCCCCTCCCCTTCGATTTACCTCAGATACTTCTCCACACGGAACTTAAGTTCATCCCGGGATCGAGGAATGGTTCCCTGCATCTTCTTCGATAGGGGCCCTAGGAGTAAACCTTAGGCGAAAACACCTGTTACCAGGAACTCTTCATGTCCTGGAACATTCAATGTCGCCAACGTGAACCGGTCATAATATTCACGGATTGATTCCCCCTCTTTCTGCTTGCATGCCATTACAGAGTTAGTGTCCCCCTGCCTTTCCTCAATTGCATGAAATTATTGAGGAAAATGTATTTCAGTTGCTCAAAGCTGGAGATGTTTCCTGGCTTCAGAGATTTGAACCACTTGCCAGCGTTGCCAGTGAGGGTGCAAGGAAAAATAAGTGCAAGTGAAGCGACGATCCATCTTGAGGGAAGTCATCGTCCATTCATAATTGTCAATGTGGTCGTATGGATCTGTGGTACCGTCATATTTGGGCATTTGTGGGATCATTTCCGTGTGCGGAATCTCGTACTGCAGCAGATCGTGACTGAAATTAGAGCTGGCGCTTCGCATAAGATTGTCCATGTATGAGGATAACATCCCACCGTAAGCCATATGTTGTTGTATTTGGTACGGGCTTGCATACATCTGGCTATGCATGGTCGTCGACGATATATATGGCTGATACGGAGGCAGGTCTGGTATCGGCCCGAATTGTTGGATGTCGTATTGCCCTATTGGGTGAAGCGTGTATGAATGCGCTCCGGTGTATTGTTGCGCATTCGGGTTGAACGGCTGAGCGGGCTGCTATGAGGGGATTGACTTTGGTTTGAACTGGGAACTGAACTCCAGATCCGGAAGAACTGGATCCCTTACCAGCCAGGATCTGCGTGCTCGCGACTTGTGGCTGAGTCGGCATATGGATGAAACATGGGATCGTGGAGGAAATTTGTGGTTGTGGTTGGATGGTGTGGGGGATCCAAGTCCCAGTGCCGGAGGTGTGTAGGAGAGACTGTTTTTGTGAGACAGGGGTCCCCGTTGATTGTGTGGCAACGATTTGCGGAGTTGCAGTTACGATTGCAACTTGTGGAATTGGGTCGATTGTTGGGCGCCATAGATTGGCCGCGAGGACTGTTGCCGTCACTGCCGTGGAGCTCGGTGGCGTTTGTGAAACTGGTATGAGGGTTGATGCATGTTCTTCCTGAACGAAAGGTTGTCCTCCCTCTAGTGATTGCATCGGACGCAGCAGACTTTTCTCCAGTGTTTCGGACACTATTGGGATTTCACCTACCATTGTTGCTCTGTGAATTTGTTTCGTGAGTGTATCGTTCTAGAGATACGCCCGGATGGCGCCAGATGTTGTGATATGTTGGAGACGGTAGCGTTGAGATCGTCGGTGGATTTGGAGTAGATGCCCTCTCCTGATATCACAGTACAAAAATAGAAAGTAAATCGTTAGTCGACGTCTGGTAGGGGTTCCCGGGACGAAGCTCCAACGATCTAGTTAGTGTTTGTTCTCAGAGAAGAAAAAGAATATTCACTGAAAGAGAGTCCTCCCTTCTTCACGAGGAAGAAGGATCCTTTTATACCTGGTTCCGGAGGCACGTGGACCTCAACTGATTCTGTTGGACATTCCTTCGTGGGACGTGACGTGGCGGACTCCTACTGGAAGATCCTTTGTCACGTCCTTTTTGCATCCTCTCCTCATTGGCTAGAGGAGGATCTTTCAGTTATTACGGAGATCGTGGCTATCGTTTGACGAACACGTGAGACGCTCTGAATGGTCCTACACTCGCCGGGATGTTATTCCTTGGTGAGGAAGTTATAGTGCTGCTCTACACCATAACTATCACGCCTATGTCTTTCGTGTTGGCGAAGGCCCGACCTTGGCTTCGGACTTGCCCCGACTGAGTTCAGCTCAGGCCAAGCTCGGTACTAGTTTTGACTTCTCTTTTTGACGTTCCCTCTGAGGGATATGTTAACAAATATTAATATAACACTTCTGAAAATTTGATCTATTTGATAAAATTCAATAATTATATGATTTATCATTTTTAATGTGTATATAAAATAGTTACGCCTTAAAAAACAACACGAGATCATGAGTTAACTTTAACTTTAACTTTAACTTTACCGACAAACCACTCCCTTATGAAAACCTTGATAATACATCCTCCACATATCTTTATATATATTAAAAGAGAAACTTAATGACATCATCTTCAACAATCAGGGCCATTCATTATGTTTCATTGATTAATTTCAACCATTAGATCATTTTGATGATGTCATCATAAAATAAAATAAAATTAATATTAACAAAATTCAATTGACTATGTTTGGAAAGTTGAAAACTTATTAATGGTGAATGAAATTTTTAATTGGAATGTATTGAAATGAAATAAATGTAGCATAATTGTCAAAACATAAATATGGTTCATTCCTTTTTAAAATCAATTAATTTGTATATACCTTTCATAATTATAGAATTTTAAATCAAAGAATTCAAAATAGTATGATATGATTCCAGTGGCGGACACAGACATTTTTACTAGCAGTGGCACAAAAAAAATTCGTCCAAATATAGTAACATAATTTTTTTTTTAAAGTAATAGTACATTAAACCGATTATTACATCTTAATATTTAAATTTGACATTTACGAGTACACATTTGTGGAAATTTTTTTTCTCTTCCTGTTGATGGTTCAATCCCAGCTTCACATAGAGGTCACATAGAGGCAGAGATGAGCTCTTTTTTTTTGTTTTGTACGATTGTTCTTATGGCTACACCCATAACTACAGAATTGGGTATTGGGTTTAAGTGGGTTGTGAGCTAACTTGGTGGTGGGCTTACCTAGCCTTAAAGATTAGAGTTGCACCTATAACTTTTTTTGGACAGCAGGTGCACCTATATAAAATAATTTTTTTTTTACACTTGTGGACAAAATTGGAGCAGTGGCCTGGGACCCATTTGCTCCATATATGTCCGCCACTGTATGAATCACAATATTAATTTCTTCATATCCTTTCCAAAATCGTTGTTTAAAATTATGTATAAGTATAATCTCATTAAGTTGTTATCACAAATTCATGAAATCTGGACTTTGCAACGTCACGTTCGAATACCAGCTTCATAAGGTTAGCAATTTTTTTTTTTTTGATTTACTGATTAATTTCTTACATCTGGTTATACTTTATGTGTTCAGTATATGTATCAATGGCTTATTAGTGGGTTTTTGATAAACGGACTTAATACTGTGTGTGTGTGTTTGCGTGTGTGTGTGTGTTTGGATTGGATTCTATGTTTGGATTGGATGACGTAAAATTCAGTTTAATTAGTTTTGTGTTAATTTGATTGGATTATGTGTTTGGATTGCGTGTGTGTTTGTATTTGGATTGGATTCTTACTGTCATCGGTTTTGATTTAGACGAAGGCTGGTATTCTTTTTATTGTTATGACTGTTTAAAAAAATTAAGTAAGAATGATGATGATACTAATGCTGAACCATTTACTTGTGATGCTTGTGGTGGAGTTTCTGATGTTTACAGCAAGTAAGTTCATAATTTTACATTTGTAAAGTTCTTGTGCCATTAATCTGTATTCGAATGTTTCCAATATTATTTTATTGTCCATTAAAGTGTCATTTTATAATCTTTAGGGTGGGGGTCGTAATTCGTGTTCAATATGAAATTGGGTATGCTTCTTTTGTATTGTTTGATCGTCATGTTAAAGATGTTATTTACCGTGGTAATCAGTGGCTGATGGAAAATATATCAAACGTAGCATTAATTTTTTTAATCGCCAACTCATCTCTTATTTTGTTTTATAATATTAATTTTGTTTAATATATGTATCGAAGAATTGAATAAATTCATTTTAACCAATTAATGCATCCAATTCTTTTTAACATAAAAAGTTGTCTACAGTATGTCCTTCAACAATTTGTACTTTTTTTTATGCATTTCCCCGCGTTTAACGCGGGTTATAATCTAGTTTTTTATAATAATAAATTGGGATTTGAGTGACTACGTGTCTACCGATTTGCAAAAAATCAAAATAGCTGGGTAAAAAAATAGTCAAGGAAGTATGTCGATCGATAGGGCCACTGGCCACTGGCCACATAGAGGTGATAAATTGAAGGAAGTATGTCGATCGATAGGGATGTATTTGTCATCGCAACCCTCAAGAAGCGGACAACAATTGCATCCTGCTTGCATAATTTCGCGCTATAGAAATTGTTATCGTCTCTGTTGTAACTATCTCCTAATCTCCATGGCATCACCCAAATTCAACTTACTATTTAAACTCCAGCAAATCATCATTGAATCGAAGTCGATCAATCAGGGGAAAACGTTGATCGTCCATGGAAGGAAAATTGAATCAAGATAAATCCAGCATTGATACAGAATTACAAACCAAGTTACTCCTTCACAGTGATCATGATCATAAGGGTGGTATGAGAACCATGCCATTCATCTTAGGTACTTCAAATCCCCAAATTCTTCCATCATTATCTGTATTCTAAACTGTAACTCACAGGAAAACCTTATCCGTCCACGAATTTTTTTGAGTTCGAGTATGAATGAATCACTATCGTATCAATTAGGGTTTTGATTTTGTTTTTGGAGCAGTGAATGAAGCATTCGAGAGAGTGGCGAGCTATGGATTGTTGCCAAACATGATCTTCTATCTGATGGAAGTTTATCACATGGAAGCTGTAACCGGAACAAGCATACTCTCAGTCTGGTCAGCACTTTCAAATGGTCTCTCCATTTTTGGTGCTTTCATCGCCGATTCATACTTGGGTCGGTTTCGGGTCATTGCTCTCGGGTCTCTCTCTACCCTTCTTGTAAGTCTATCATTCTTCTATCAAATGACCCGAATAAGAACCTTCAGATTCTTAAATAGAAACTATTGATGATCTTCTCCTTTCCACAGGGGATGGTTTTTCTATGGCTGACATCCATATTCCCACAGTTAAGACCTTCATCTTGCGATGAACTCAATACCATTTGCAGCCCTGCAACACCAACCCAACTCACTTTTCTCTTCACATCTTTTGGTCTACTCTCAATCGGATGTGGTTGCATCAGACCATGTTCCATGGCCTTTGGTGCAGACCAACTCAACAATCATCCAACCCAAAACAACCAAAGGCTCATTGACAGCTACTTTAATTGGTACTACGCTTCTGCAACAATGTCAATGCTTATATCTTTTACACTAGTGATTTACATTCAAGATGAGTATGGTTGGCAGGTTGGATTTGCAGTTCCTGTGATGTTAATGGTGTGTTCTGCTGTTATGTTCTTACTCGGATCGTCTCTTTATGTGAAAGTTAAAGTTGGTGAGAGCCCGTTTTCAGGGTTCATTCAAGTTCTAGTTGTTGCTTTCAAGAACCGGAAAGTCAATCTTAGTCGCAATGACTGCTATAATCATAGCCATGGAATGGATCGAGTTGAGCTAACAGAGAACTTAAGGTTTCTCAACAAAGCATGCATTATTAAAGATTCAAACACAGATCCATGGAATCTCTCCACAGTTGAAAAGGTGGAATCTCTCAAATCCTTAATTAGTATAGCACCAATTTGGTCTTCGGGAATTCTATTATTCACCACAAGTTCACAAAGCTACCCAACACTCCAAGCAAAAGCAATGAATCGACACATCACCTCAGGATTTGAAATCCCACCCGCATCATTTGTCTTATTCTTGGTCTTAACAGTCACAATATGGCTCGCCTTCTATGACCGTATCTTAGTCCCGATTCTAACCAAACACACACATCAACCGCGTGGGCTCCATGCAAAAACCCGAATGGGAATCGGGCTACTAATCTCAGTCATTGCCATAGTGGTGTCTGCAATCGTGGAAACCATAAGGCGCCACATGGCAAGGTCGGGTAATGACATGTCAGCATTGTGGTTGGTCCCACAGTATTCTTTGGTAGGATTAGCCGAGGCTTTTAATGCAATAGGGCAGTTGGAGTTTTATTACTCCGAGCTTCCGAAAAATATGTCAAGTATTGCTGTGGCGCTCTTCATGGTGAGCAATGCTTTTTCGGGGATTTTTGGAAGCTTTTTGATCAATGTTGTTGACTCTGTAACAAGTGAAGGTGGTAATGTGAGTTGGTTATCGAGTGATATTAATGAAGGACATGTGGATTATTATTATTGGTTACTTGGTTTCTTGAGTTTGCTCAATTTTTTCTACTTCTTAGTCTGTTGTCGTCTTCATCGGATGTTTTCATCGTCTACATGAGCTTGAAGAAGGATCAGAGTTTGGGGATTGAAGCTCAACATTAGGGTTTTAGAATCCAATATTGCCATGCCATGCAATGTGTTTCTATGTGAATCCTGCTTTAGTGTTGTAGCATGTGGATAATCTAGTAAATAATTTCAAGATCCTTTGTTTTTGAAGGATGATATCATTCGCTTTGTTAATGAATTTCAATTTCTTTCTCGATATGGTTTTTTACCACCCACCCATGGCATGGACATTAAAATTTATTTTGCATGTTTAACGTTTATTGTTTTAAAGAATTTTGATTATATTGTAATTTGATGCCGATAAGGTTTGTTAGCTATCTTTATTTAAATATGTCTTATTTTTAGTTATATATTCTTAGGTTCAAATTGTCAACTTTGTATGATAGCTAGAGCACATCCTTTTTTATATATAAATAAATCATGCTCAAATGAATTACAAGTTTACAACCATTTTAGTTTTCCAACTTTCCGTAATATTGTATTCATCTATTACTTCCTATTCTTCATCTTCTGCATCTATGATTAATGAAAGATGCAAGAAACGAGGTTAAGATTTTGGCAACGTTCATGGGTTACCCTTTTACTGAAAAGGAGGAAGATGACAGGGAAGTGGAAAAGATAATAAATTTATGTAGTTTTGAGAAGTTAAGCGAGGTGATAAGAATGGAAGAAGCCATATCTTCTTCAGAAAAGGAGAAAAGGAGAAGTTGGAGATTCAGTTAATTATCTTACACGTGAAATGATCGGGATTTTGGACAAAATCACCGAAGAAAAGTATTATGGGTTAGATATCTCATTTTAAATATGAATCACCTTCTCTTTGTTTTTTTCTATTCTATTGAATAAATGGCATCGTATATTCATATTTTATAATATTTGGAACATGATATAACCATAAAGAATTAAAAAATTACAACAATTCAGAGTATATGTTTTTGTTAATTCTTTAACCATCATGTTTTCTTTGGTTTATCGATTTCACTTCTTCGATTTCTTCAATAAATTCCTCAAATGGGTTGGAGATACAAATGGAACGAGTTAGAAATAAAACATTATTTACGCAACAAATTACATAGTTTTGGTGCAAAGAATGCTTTAATGGGTTAGAGATGCTTAAAGTGGTGTTTCTTTTGTAATTCTTTAACGGGGAGAAATTAATCTCATAAACTATATATAAATTTTTAATTACTCTAAGCTTCTGAAAAGTATGTCAAGTGATGTTCATGGTGAGCAATGCTTTCTAGGGGCTTGTTGGAAGCTTTTTGGTCAGTCTTATTGACTTGGTAACAAGTGAAGGTGGTAATATGAGTCGGTTATCGAGCGATATTAATTAAGCCATGAAGGAAATCTGGATTAGGGGTGTAAGTGAGCCGAGCTACTCGGGATCGACTCGTTAAAAGCTCGACTCGAGATCGAATTAAAGGAGTCTGAGCCGAGCTCGAGCCTAAATATGAGGCTCGTTTATTAAATGAGCTCGAGCCGAGCTTCAATTTATAGGTTCGCGAGCCTAAACGAGCCTATATATATATATATATATATATATATATATATATATATATATATATATATATAGAGAGAGAGAGAGAGAGAGAAAGAGAGAGAGAGAGACTCGGGCCCCGTTTGATAGTTGCTGACTGAGAAAGTGCAGACTGAGAAATGTCTGTCTCAGTAAGAAATTCTGACTGGGTAAGAAATCATGATGTTTGATTGTACATCTGACTGAACGTGCTGACTGATGCAAAATGACTATTTTACCCTGATGCGCTATTCGTTTTTATACAATATAATAATAATAATAATAATAATAATAATAATAAAGATAATAATAATAATAATAATAATAAAGATAATAAAGATGATGATGATGATGATGATAATAATAATAACCAGCGTTACACATTATATAAAATATTTGAGTAAATATAACAAAAAAGCCTTCTAGCATAGTGGAAAAGATGTGACTTTGTGAATATAAGGTCATGGGTTTGATTCCTACTGCCCTCTTTTAATTTGGTGTGCACCGAATTTTTAAGGGTAGAAGTGGAAAGTCTTTATTCCTTTCTCAGTCAGCCATCCCCCCATCTCTTTCTCACTCAGACCTTGCTGACCGAGTCAGACACCCAAATTTTGTTACGAGCCCACTAAATTGTTCACGAGCCGAACTCGAGCTTAATTTTAACTTTCGAATCGAGCTCGAGCTTCCTCAAAATTAAACGAGCCGAGCTCGAGCTTGGTCAAGCTCGGGCTCAGCTCGGCTCATTTACACCCCTAATCTGGATTATTACTATTGGTTACTTGGTTTGTTGAATTTGCTCAATTTAGACACCCAAATTTTGTTACGAGCCCACTAAATTGTTCACGAGCCGAACTTGAGCTTAATTTTAAGGCTCGAATCGAGCTTGAGCTCGAGCTTCCTCAAAATTAAACGAGCCAAGCTCGAGCTTGGTCAAACTCGGGCTCGGCTCGGCTCGTTTACACCCCTAATCTGGATTATTACTATTGGTTACTTGGTTTGTTGAATTTGCTCAATTTTGTTTAATCATTGATATGTTGGGATGTTTAGATCTTCCACATGGGTTTGGAAAAGAAGGGGGTAAGAACTTTAATGGGCACATGGAAGATGGCTTGCGTTTGATATGGAAATGCATGATTGAGAGTCCATTTTCTTGGCTCTTTTGTTTGTAGAATAGCTTTTTTGTTTTGGTAACATAGGGTTGTTAATTCAATTTTCGGTAGTTTCCAAAATTGATTTAATTTTGTTAGCTTTGTAATTTCCCAATTCTAGTAAAGTTTTGCCAAAGGGTGAGGTCTTTATCCATAGTACTGAATTATTGATATAAGTTTCATATGTCAATAAATCTGATTCTAATATATCAACTATCAACTGTGTAATGAGTAGTTAGTGGTGGATTTTTTTTTTTTTTTTTAATTTTGATTATTTTTTTTATAAAAATCTTAAGAAAAAAAAAGTATTTTGTCATTTCTTTTATAGAAATACAATTGGATTTGAGAAACGTACGTCTCACGCGCCTACGGAAAATCAAATTAGCGGGATAATGAAGAATTGACGGATGAAAGAAAAAATGGCCAAAGGGAGCTGACAAACTGAAGGAAGTATATTGATATAAAAGGGATGTATTTGTCTGTGGCAAGAAAGAAAGTAACAAACAACAATGCAATCCTTGTTGCTTGCGCGGTTTCGTGTTCTAGATATCGTTATCGTCTCTGTCACATTCTAACTATCTCAATGGCATCACCCAAATTCAACTTACTGGTTAAACTTCATCAAACCATCTTTGAATCGAAGTCGATCAGTCAGGGGAAAACGTCGATCGTCCATGGAAGGAATATCGAATCAAGAAAAGTCCAGCATCGATACAGAATTACAAACGAAATTACTCCTTCACAGTGATCATGATCATAAGGGTGGTCTGAGAACCATGCCATTCATCATAGGTACATAAAAATTCCCGATTCTTCCATCGTTATCTGTACTCTGTACTCGAACTCCCAGAAAAACCTAATCGGTCAACCAGTTTTTGCGAGTTCGAATATAAATGCATCTCGATTGTACTAATTAGGGTTTTGACTTTGATTTTGGAGCAGTGAATGAAGCATTCGAGAGAGTGGCGAGCTATGGATTGATGCCAAACATGATATTCTATCTGATGGAAGTTTATCACATGGAAGCTGTAACTGGAACCAGCATACTCTCCGTCTGGTCAGCACTTTCAAATGGTCTCTCCATTTTTGGAGCTTTCATCGCTGATTCTTACTTGGGTCGGTTTCGGGTCATCGCTCTCGGATCTCTCTCCACCCTTCTCGTAAGTCTTCCACCTCGCATATTAATTTTGATTTAGGGGCTGTATTTAATCTTCTTGTTGCTACAGGGGATGGTTTTTCTATGGCTGACCTCCATGTTCCCACAGTTACGACCTTCATCCTGCGATGAACTCGACACCATTTGCAGCCCTGCAACACCAATCCAACTCGCTTTACTCTTTTCATCTTTTGGTCTACTCTCGATTGGATGTGGTTGCATCAGACCATGCTCCATGGCCTTTGGTGCAGACCAACTCAACAATCATCCAACCCTAAACAACCAGAGGCTCATTGACAGCTACTTTAATTGGTACTACGCTTCTGGAGCATTCTCGACAGTTGTTGCTTTTACAGTAGTGGTGTACATTCAAGATCAGTATGGTTGGCAGGTTGGATTTGCAGTTCCTGTGTTGTTCATGGTTTGTTCTGCTGTTATGTTCTTACTTGGATCTTCTCTTTATGTGAAAGTTAAAGTTGGTGAGAGCCCGTTTTCAGGGTTCATTCAAGTTCTAGTTGTTGCTTTTAAGAACCGGAAAGTCAATCTTAGTAGCAATGACTGCTATAATCATAGCCATGGAATGGATCGAGTTGAGCTAACTGAGAACTTAAGGTATCTCAACAAAGCGTGCGTTATTAAAGATTCAAACATGGATCCATGGAATCTCTCCACAGTCGAAAAGGTTGAATCCCTCAAATCCCTAATTCGTATAGCACCCATTTGGTCTTCAAGTATTCTACTATTCGCCACAAGTTCCCAAAACTACCCAACACTCCAAGCAAAAACAATGAATCGACACATCACCTCATGGTTTGAAATCCCAGCCGCATCATTCGTTTTATTCATGGTCTTAACACTCATAATATGGCTCGCATTTTACGATCGTATCTTAGTCCCGATTCTAGCAAAACACACACATCAACCACGTGGGCTCCACCCAAAAACCCGAATGGGAATTGGACTACTAATCTCAGTCATTGCCATGGTGGTGTCCGCGATCGTGGAAACCATAAGACGCCACGTGGGAAGGTCGGGTAATGACATGTCAGCGATGTGGTTGGTCCCACAGTATGCTTTGCTAGGATTAGCCGACGCTTTTAATGCAATAGGGCAGATGGAGTTTTATTACTCCGAGCTCCCGAGGAGCATGTCGAGTGTTGCCATGGCCATGTTCATGGTGAGCAATGCATTCGCGGGGTTACTTGGAAGCGTTTTGGTCAATGTTGTTGACTCGGTGACAAGTGAAGGTGGTAGTGTGAGTTGGTTATCTAGTGATATTAATGAAGGACATGTGGATTATTACTATTGGTTACTTGGTTTTTTGAATTTGCTCAACTTTTTCTACTTCTTGATATGTTGTCGTTTTCATAGGAGGTTTACATTGTCCACATGAGCTTGGAGAATAAGGGTAAGATTTTGGGCATTGAAGGTTAACATTAGGTTTTATCATGCCCTAGTGTTGTGAATTATATTCACATGGATAATTACAAATTATGTAATATTAGATACATATTTAATAAACATTATACGAATAATCCAAAAGAAATCATATGGTGGTTTTTTATGGGATCATATAAGATAACGTAAATTGCTATGAGTTATATCAATGTCATGCTATGTAGTGTTTGATTTAATGATTGAAGGATTTTTAAACAGATTCATACTATTTGATGTTAACTTCACATTAAATCTAATGTAAATTACACTATATGGATGTAATATGATATAATGTGAAGTTGATGTTGTGCATGTAACATCCTAAATTTAGGTTAAACTTAAGTGGATTAATGGTTCACAGTTTATGAAATGTAATGGAAGTCTTGATCTTGGAATGACGGGGGTGACGAAGGTGGCAGTGGTGGTGCGGATTATAACGATGGTGGTGGTGGTGGCGGAAACAATATGGCAGCGGTGGTAGCGATGATGGCGGCAGTTGTGGTGGTGGTGATGTGGAAATTATGTCTTCTAAAATAACAAGTTCTCAATACTAGAAGGACCAAAATTGTAAATTTTGGTTAATGAACTCTTTTTTCAAATTTGTTGTTTAGTGTTGAAAAATCAAAAAGGGCTGGTGGCTTAAAATTAATGCAACTGAGAAGGTCTCTATGCATTTGAAGAAAGTTGCATGTCAGCGCAAGAAGGAAACGTATACTTTCGGCACATTAAAGTCGACGTATTTAACATGCTTTCACATTACCCATGCATATGTAAAAAGGCTCGGAGGTTATTAAAGATTTTATCAAGATTATAACATCAGCCTAAATACATCACAACAAAACCACCCTAACTCATAGTATTTTTCTTTTTATCCAAAACTCTGTAACACTGCAAAACTATAGTGAATTGTTTCTCGGCTTCCTCCGCTCATGGTTTTTCCCGTTTTGGGTTGTCCTCGTAAACCCTTGTGTCTCTTTTATTTACCGTTTTCATTCGTATTTTATTGGTGGTTGATTATGTTCGATATTTTAATTCCATTCCGCATCGAACTAATATTAGTCTAAATTACTCGGATTCTTGGGGCGTGTTTTCACACACGTTTTACTACAATTGGTATCAGAGCTTCCGGGTTTTAATATTAGTTTATTGGGATCATTTTATCAAGTGATTGATCATGTCTTCGATGAAGTACGATATTCCGTTGTTGGATCGAAACACCAGATTTCCTCTATGGCAAGTAAAGATGAAAGATATTATTATTCAGATGGATGTACATAAGGCGCTTTTGAGTTCTGAGAAGATGCCCGCTTCGTGGACGGAAGAAGAAAATGAGACGAAAGATTTAAAAGCTCAATCACAGATTCGTTTGCATTTGTCAAATGATGTTTTGCAAGATGTTTTGAAAGAAACTTCAGCGGCTGCTTTATGGTTGAAGTTGGAGCAATTGTTGATGACGAAGAGCCTACCAAACAAGTTGCATTTAAAGCTGCGGTTTTTCAATCTTAAAATGATTGAAGGAGGTTATTTAGCTAAACATTTATCCACATTCAAAGAGTTAGTAAATAACTTAGAGAATATGGATGTTTAGTATGAAGATGGAGATTTACCTTATTCTTGTTGTCGTCGTTACCCGAATCCTACAACCATTTTCATGATACGATCATCTATAGTCGTGACACTCTGTTCCTAGATGAAGTTTTTACAGCTTTGGATTGAAAAGAGAAGATGAAGCATATTGCCAGTGGTGGTTCAAGTGATGCGAAAGACGAAGGTTTAAATGTCCGAGGAAGAACAACAGATAAAGGTAAAAATCCTCAATCTTCCAACAAGACCAGATCCAAGTCTAAAAGCAAAAGAAAGTTTTGTAATTACTGTCACAAGAAGGGACATATGATTGATGAATACTTCAAGTTGCAGAATAAAGAGAAAGCAGCAGCAAATGGTAAACAAGCTAGCACTTCGGGTGAAGCCGATGTAGTAGAGGACGGTTGTATTAGAGAATTTCTAACAGTTTATTCAGATAACTGGATTCCAGTGGTGAATGGATACTCGATTCTGGATGTACTTTCATATGTGTCACAACAGAAGTTGGTTTTACACATTTGAAAAGGTTAACCAAGGTTATGTTCTGATGGGTAACAATTCTACATGTCCAGTTGTTGGACATGGCTCAGTCAGAATTCGGATGTTTGACGGGGTTATCCGAACCACTGGGGAAGTTAAATATGTTCCTGACCTCAGAAGAAACTTGTTATCTCTCAGTTCTTTTGATAAAAACGGATATGAGTTTTCTGGTTAAGATGGAGTTCTTAGGGTATTCAAAGATGGTTCTGATAAACTGAGAGCCAAGCGCAAAACCTCAGATCTCTACTTTCTTGACGGGAAAACAATCTCGATTGATGTTGTTGTTGTTTCAAAGTCCTTTCCTGGTTCAGATCAATCCCGTCTTTGGCACCTTCGACTCGGCCGTATGAGTTTTCACGGCATGTCTGAGTTGAGTCGAAGAGGATTACTTGGTGAACAAAAGATTGTTGATTTAGAGTTCTGTGAAGACTGTGTATATGGCAAGGCAAAAAAAGTGAGATTTATGAGTGGTATGCATACAACGAAAGGACCACTTGACTATGTACACTCAGATTTGTGGGGACAGGCTCGAGTTTCTTCGAAAGGTGGAGTTGTTTATATGCTCACCATCATTGATGATTTCTCCAGGAAGGTGTGGTCTTTCTTCTTGAAACATAAAGGAGATGTTTTTTCTACCTTCATAAATTGGAAAGTACAAGTTGAAAAGCAATCAGGATTGGTGGTAAAGTATCTTCGCACGGATAATGGACTTGAGTTTTGCTTAGAAGAGTTTAATGCCTATTGTCGAAAGGAAGGAATTACTTGACATCGCACGGTAGTCCATACACCTCAACAAAATGGCGTAGCTGAAAGGATAAATCGCACCATTGTGGAGAAGGTCCTGTGTGTAACGCCCGTGTTTCGAGGCTAAGCATTGATGCGATGATGTAATAGTCTAGGTCAACCGTTGTAACCCATTTTAAAGTAATAAAGATGAATTACTTGAATATTATGTGAATTATGTGCTTTTGTGTGCTTATTACTTGTTTATAATAATATAATAAATAAAGGATAAAAATAAGCGTCAAAAATAAAATGTTAGATAAGCCCGTTATCGATGAAGAAAGTTGTAGTGGCCGTGACAAGGATTTCGGAGGTATAAAGAACGTCGAAATCCGAGTTATAACGAAGAAGTTATGGCATGTCGAAGTTTCGCGACAGAACCGGCACGACACTGCGTGACGTAAATAGTGAATTTACGATAGAGGACTTTTTAGCCTTAGCTATCTAAATGAAAGTCGTAGTGTTTGTTAAACCGAGAGCATGCATAAAAAGAACGCCCAAATCTGACTTTGTATGAGGAAGTTATGATTTTTCTAAGTTTCGGATTAGCAGTATGCAGCCCGAAGTTCGAATATTAGATCGAACTATTTCTGGCCGACACAACCTAAGCGAGAATCGAATGTCTCGTTAATAGTAGCGCAACGGTAAAAGAACAGATGAAATCGGACGTCGGATGAAGGATATATGAATTTTAACGCATTTTCCTGTCCCGACCTGTTAAAAATATAACTTTAAAAATATAGTCAAAATTAGCCAACGGAGTCTAAACAAAAGTTGTAGAATACGATCCCACCTACGCGTGGATATAAAGAACGTCGAAAACGGAGCTCGTATGCGAAAGTTATGAATTTTAGAAGTCGGGAGGCGAATCTGCGAGAATCGATGACGTGGCATAATATCAGCCGTCACTTGTTCCCCACGGTCTCGCTTCGGATGGTGACAGCTGGTGCGAGGGCTACGCCCCGCGTAATCTGAAGGACGCCCCGCGTACGAAGATGTTACGCTCTGCGGTCTAGCCTTCCACGGTCCAGAAGCCTCCACGATGACCCAGCAGCTTGTCGACGCGTGTTGTACGACTTCGCGAGTACGCCCAACGTACTTCGGACTACGCCCAGTGTAGTGCGAAGCCTCGCACCTATAAATAGGGGTGCGAGGGCAGTCGATTTTACACACCATTTCCCATTCTTTTTCTCACTCTACTCTCTCTCTCTAGCCACCCTAATCTACCCCGAAGCCTAGGGAACCTCCCTAGCACTAGAAGAAAGTCCCGGAGCGCCCGAAGGCTCCGAGAAAAAGAGTTTTTTGGTTTGAAACTCTGCCCGCACGGAGCCCAGTTTTCAAGCAAACTTCCCGGTTTCGTCGAAAGAAATTATTTTAAGAAGCGAAGTGTTGTCTGAATCACTCCTTATAAGGTGAGTGTATAGTCACTTTCATCTTACACATAGATATGAAGTATTTTATATAAATTACGTGCTATGTGTATATATATTATATGTTTACTTGAGATCTATGTTGGATGAAAGATCTGAACATCTTTCTCTTTAGATTTGAACTTTTTCCTTCAGATCTAGACTTTTTCCTTCAGATCTAAAGTTTTCCCTTAAGATCTAAACTTTTCTTCCAGATCTGACCCTTTTTCCTTCACATCTAGACTTTCTCACTTCAGATCTGAACTTTTCAGATCTAAACCTCATATATGAATAATTTATACTTGAGATCTATGCTATATGAAAGATATAAACTTCGTTTTCATATTTGAGTTGTATATGTGTTTTATATCTACAAATATGTTGGGTAAAACATAGGTAGATGAAATAGTTGGTGTGTGATAAAATGATGAGAGGCCTCGATGTTGACGTTGATCCAGTCATCTAGCGGAGTATGGATGACTACCATAGACTTTTCTAGGAAGTCCAGTGGAACGCTAGCAGGTTCGCAACCTGTAGGTGTTTGTGAACGATGTGTTCACTGGTGTACTCCATCCACCCCATGGTTGCCTTTCGGACACTTATGGATGAGGAATCCCCTTAGCAGTAGTGTCCATCCCGATGAAATTCCTTAGGATAGGTCCCTTATGATAGATGCTTTAGGGACGTAAGGTGAGGATAACGGGAACGGGTAATCGGGTTTAATGATTGTTGAAAATAATAAACTGATTTATTATGGGTTGAAAACCATATATGCTCACCAGGCTCCCCAGCATGACCCACTCAGTTTCTTGTATTACAGGTAGTGACAAAAGCATAGTTGGATGATTTGACGATATATTATGGATTCATAGGCCAGTAGAAAATAAATAGAATGTTGTGAGGCCTATAATGTTTTGAGGCCAATTTTGTTTTGTGGCCTATACTGTTTTGTTTATGCCTTTGGTCTGTATCGACGATGACATCCTGAATGTAATGAAAATACATTTCTTTAAGAAATGCTTTGATAAATTTTCATCATATTTTGTTTTGGGAACAAATTCCGCAACACTTTTCTTTGAAAGATTACTCTGATTTTATTATAAAAGCATAAATGAAATCGGTCTTTTGTGGCCGTAAAAATGGGGATGTCACAAGTGTATGCTTTCTAATTCCAAATTGCCAAAGTCTTTTTGGGTGGAGGCTGCCTCGACTACTTGCTATCTCATCAACTGATCACCATCACGAGCAATTGAGAAGAAAACTTTGTTTGAGTTATGGTCCGGGAAACCTTTCGATTATACAAATTTAAAGCCTTTTGGATGTCCAACTTATGCACGAGTTGACAATGGGATGTTAGGACCATAAGCAATAAAATGTGTTTTTCTTGGGTACAATCTGGGTGTTAAAGGGTACAAGTTGTGGAGCTTTGATCTGAAGAAAGTCATTATCTCAAGAGATGTTACTTTTGATGAGTCTAGTATGATTCAACCAATCTCAGACTCTTCAAAAGATACAGCTGCATCAGATGCATCATCAGAAGCAAGTAAAGAAAAAGCTCAAATAGAGGTGGAACTTCCTACTTCACCTTCTACTTTCGTTCCAAGTTTAGTAGAAAATCAGGAGTCTTCATCGTCTGATGAGCCCGTTGTTGTTGAAGAGTCAACATCTTTACCACCACGAGTTACCACTCCATGCATTGCAAGAGATAAACCGAGAAGAGATGTTGTACCTCCAAAGATGTATGATGAAGCTGATCTTGTTGCTTATGCATTTATTGTTGCTGATGATATTAAGTCTGGAATGGAGCCTGTGAATTATGATGAGGCTGTTAAGTCTAAAGACTCAAGTGATTGGATGATTGCAATGCAAAGTGAGATGGAGTCCTTGCAAAGAAATGGTACTTGGGATTTAGTTCCTATTCCGAAAGGCAAAAGACCAGTTAAATGAAAGTGGGTCTACAAGCTCAAGGAACCTGTCAACCCGGATGAGAAACCAAGGTACAAAGCTCGTTTAGTAGCTAAAGGCTATAATCAGATTCCTAGTATTGATTACACTGACATTTATTCCCCAGTTGTTAAACATACTTCTATCCGTTTATTTTTGGGATTGGTTGATTCTAATGATTATAAATTAGAGTAACTTGATGTTACTACAGCTTTCTTAAATGGTGTGCTTGAGGAAGATATTTTTATGCAACAACCTAATGGTTTTGTAGTTCCTGGCAAGGAGGAATATGTGTGTAAATTGAATAAATCTATTTATGGCCTCAAGCAGTCTCCTATACAATGGTATAAGAGGTTTGATTCGTTCATGACTAGTCACGAATTCAAGAGGTGCGCCAGTGATTGATGTGTTTATTATAAAAGCAGTGATGAGGGCTCGATGATTTACTTACTCTTATACGTGGATGACATTTTGATCGCAGCGAAAGATATGAAGGAGATTCATAATTGAAAGACTAGTTGAAAGCTGACTTTGAAATGAAGGACTTAGGAGCTGCAAAAAAGATTTTAGGTATGGAAATTGTTCGTGACAGGAAGTCTAGGATCTTTCATCTTTCTCAGGAAAACTATATTGAGAAATTCCTAAGATGCTTCAATATGCATGACGCAAAACCTGTCAACACACCTTTTGCAGCTCATTTCAAGCTATCATCCCGTTTAAGTCCTACTACTGAGACTGATATGGCCTACATGGAACGCGTACCATACTCTAGTGTTGTCGGATCCTTGATGTATGCTATGATTTGCAGGCACCCTGATTTGGCTTATGTTGTTAGCATGGTTAGTAGATATATGGCGAACCCGGGAAAAGAACATTGGAAAAGCAGTGCAATGGATATTTTGTTATCTGCGTGGTACGTCTTCTATATGTCTACACTTTGGTAAATCTAAAACTGGGGTGCTTGGATATGTTGATTCATATTATGGAAAAGACTTGGATAAATGAAGATCGATTACATGGTATGTGTTTACTTTGCTTGGTTGTGCTATTAGCTGGAAAGCCCCATTTACAGTCTACAGTTGCTTTGTCATCTACTGAGGTAAAGTATATGGCGATCACAGAAGCAGTTAAGGAAGATATTTGGTTGAAGGGTTTATTTAGTGAACTCGATGATAGATTAAAGGTCACCATGGTATTCTGTGACAATCAAAGTGCTATCTTCTTGAGTAAATATCAAAAGTTTCATGACCGAACAAAGCACATGGATATCCGTTTCCATTTTGTGTGGGATATCATTGAAAAAGGTGATTGTGTCGTTGACAAAATTCCTAAAAATTATAATCCCACTGATATGTTCACCAAGAGTCTTCCTATAGCCAAGTTCAAATTATGTTTGGACTTGGTGGGTGTTTCTGATCGCAATTGAGCCTGGTTAGGCTCGTGGTGGAGGAAGTATTTTATTTTTCGGAATCAGTTTTTCTCTATATGGTGATTGCAGGTTCTTATAGAGTATTGAAGTTTGATAAGCATGTTATGATTTTCATTTTGTTTTTGTAAAGTCAAGGTGAAAATTGTGGAAATTATGCCTTCTAAAATGACAAGTTCTCAATACTAGAAGGACCAAAATTGTAAATTTTGGTTAATAAACTCTTTTGTCAAATTTGTTGTCAGACATTAGTGTTGAAAAATCGAAAGAGGGTTGGTGGCTTAAAATTAAGGCAACTGTGAAGGTCTATATGCATTTGAAGAAAGTTGCATGTTTGATTCAAACACCACATTGTAACGGATTACGCTCTCACATTTCTTTAATCCTATTGATGCTTTACGATGGACGGAGAATGGCAAGAGGCCAGAAGCAGAAGACAGAGGAAGACATCGAAGATCGGAGATCAAAAAAGGTGGAATCACACAGGGGTAATGACGATGTTTGTATCTAATCTTCCGCATGAGACCAGAATCGACTCCTTAAAAAGTATCTTTGCTAAATACGGGGGGAAGTGGTGGATGTTTATGTGGCTACAAAGAAGGACGTAAACAAAAGGTCGTTTGCTTTCATGAGATTTAAAAAGATGAAAGATGAACGAAAGTTTGAGGCATCACCTTCAAAGGTAGAAAGCTTGAAGTTAACATAGCGAGGTTTGCAAGGAAACCGGTCGACTCTACGGAGGATAAGATAGTGATGAACCAGAATCTATATAGATGTCCAATGGAAAAGCGATGGAATGGCAGGGATAATAGATCTTTTGCAGATGTTGTAGGTGGTAGGAACAAACTACGGAGAACTCTGCCCGACCAACCTCAAGAATATTCGACTCCAATTAAAATCGTGGATGACTCACCGCTTAGGGGATGGTTGAGATGTAAGTTAACCTTGATCGGGGAACTGTATAGTTTGGATCACCTGGAAAAGGCACCATTCTCATTCAAGAATTGTGATGGGTCAAAATGTGAACTAAAATATCTGGGTGGGCTAAGAATTGGTGTCAAGTTCATAGATGAAAAAAGCAGAGATTCGTTCTTATAAGGGTGGACTGAATGGTTTAGGTCGATGGAGAGTGGTGATATTGCGACCTATAACTTAGAAAGGATTGCATGGTTAAAGATTCTTGGTCTCCTACAAAACAAAATCTATGGTCGAAAGAAAATTTCACGACAATTGCAGACTCGGTTGGCAGAGTGATTATTCCATTTGGAGTTGATATATCTAATGCGAATTTAGCCTACGGGAAAGTGGGTGTTATCACAAACTCGTTATCATACATCTCCAGTGAGCCGATCGTGGAGATTAACGGAGAGACTATTAAAATCAAAATTGTTAAAGTCGATCTTGGCTGGACTCCGTTTAAGCAATACGAGAAATCATTGGAGGATAACTCCTCGTCAGACGATGGTGAGGAGGACGTGGATGACATGGAAGGAGATGACGAGGATGAACATGTATCTGATACTATTCCTATACAGAATAACATCGAAGAACTGGAAGAAGGAGAGATTGGAACTGAGGAAGGAACGGAACTAAATTAATACAGAAACATGGCTGGCAATACTAGCTACTTGGTGGAGGCTCCGTCACCGGCGACCATGGCAGCGGAGGAGACTGACAGTGGAAGTGGAACCCCACGCATAGAGAATCTCAAAAGGTGCAAATTAATGTGAACGTTAATGAAGGGTCACACGAAGAATCGGTAAATGCAGCGCCACCCCAAAACTTGGAGTCTAATAATTTGGACCATATGGATACGTCAAATGGGCCCCTAAATATTTTAACTCTATCCGGTTGCTTTGGGCCGTTTCCTAACAGTCCGGGTCGAGGTGAACTATATACGGGTCGGATTAATAACAACTTTAAAGGATCCCACGATAAAAGAAGAAGGATATTGACGCCGATTCCTGAGTCGTCCAAGGAAAACCAGATGGTGTCTTCATGTCAGCCCACTATCGATCTAAATCAAGTTCCGCTTCCATCTCAAATCTCGCTCCCGGAATCGGACGACGAGTCACAATCAACATTATCTTTGGAAATCAGGAACACGGTGGAGGTTGGTAAAATGTTGGGCTTCGATATGTAATGTGACAACGAGGTCCTCAAAGAGGTACTTGGCGAAGAAGGAGAAAACCAATTACCCCAATGAACATCATGTCACTAAACATCAGAGGCCTTGGAGAGAAACATAAATCTGATTGGGTTGGTAGGCTGAGAAGAGAACATAAATTATGTTTGGTTGGAATTCAAGAAACGAAATTGGGTGAATCTTCCCAGCCTTTCAATCCAGCTATTTGTTGGGGCGACTCTGACTGTAATTTCGAGCAAGTATTCACTACAGCTAGATCGGGAGGGATAATAACGATATGGGATAATAGAATGTTTTCATTGGTGGATGTGATTAAATCAAGAAATTTTATAGTGACACTGGGGAACTTTGTGGGTATCGATGGGCTCACGGATTTTGTTAACGTGTATGGTCCCCAACAGGAACGTGAGAAAGTTAAAGTATGGAAGGAATTGTTAACAATAAAGTTGTCGAGAACGGCAACCTGGATTTTCATGGGAGATTTCAATGTGGTAAGGCGACCTGATGAACGGATAAATTCTGAATTCTGTATCCGAAGTGCAAACGAGTTCAACAAGTTCATCCTTAATGGCGAATTAACGGACTTGAAGATGGGAGGTCAAAAATTTACATACTTCAGAACTCTAGGAGGGAAATTGAGTAAGTTAGATCACTTTTTGGTGTGTTCCAATTTTCTTTTTGTGTATCCTCTTGCCTCCTCTTTTGCAATGAATAGAGACCTATTAGACCAATCCCCTATTGTGATGAGGGCTAGATGTGAGGACTTTGGACCGCCCCCGTTCAAGTTCTTAAACTCCTGGCTACTAAACGATAAACTTGATGGAGTCATTAAGGATACGTGTTATGGGTTTAGAGGTTATGGTACCCCTGACATGATTCTCTTGAATAAATTGAAGCACCTAAAATCGGCTATCAGAAACTGGAAAATCAACACAGTAAATATGGAGAACAGGGAAGTTGAAGAATGGAAAAAAAGAATGGCAGAAATAGAACTGTTGGCGGAATCTTGATCCCTGACTATTGCTGAAGTGAAAGAAAGATCAAATTTGGGAGTCAAGATTGACGAACACGCAAGAGTGATGGCCATGAACTTAAAGCAACAGGCAAAGTTAAAATGGGAGATTGACGGAGATGAGAATACCCGATTTTTCCATAACTATGTGAATAATAGGAATCGGAAAAACCATATACATGGGATTATGATCAACGGTGCTTGAAGTACTAGTCCGTTGGAAATCATAAAGGAGGCATAAAAGTTTTTTGGGAATAAATTTAAAGAGAGATGGCCAATTAGACCAAAATTCCGTAACCCGGGTTTTAGAAAACTTTCTGAACTCGATGCCAGATACTTGGAAGCCGAATTTACAACCGATGAAATAAAAAACACGATTTGGTCATGTGGTGGTGATAAATCGCCGGGACCTTATGGATTCACGTTCAAATTATTAGACCACAAACAGATGGCTTATAATTCAAATTATTTTCTGTTGGTGGAGCTTTCTGTTGACATATTGGAGAAGAAAGGTTGGCTGGAAAACAGAGATAGAAAAGATGATGGATGGTGGTAATCGTGTTCTCTGATACCATATAATGATTTCAATCTTTTTGTTTATTTTATTCCATAGAATTGTCACAGTATAAATACAGGAGAATATCCTAAAGACTATGGAAAGTTACAACAAATAAGGAAAAATAAATCAAAAGAGATATGTACATTAAATAATACAAAATTCAAAATAATTTGAATTATACGCCATCTGTTTGTGGTTTATTTTATTCCTTATTTGTTGTAACTTTCCATAGTCTTTAGGATATTCTCCTGTATTTATACTGTGACAATTCTATGGAATAAAATAATCAAAAGAGATATGTACATTAAATAATACAAAATTCAAAATAATTTGAATTATAAGCCATCTGTTTGTGGTCTAATACAAATTTGTAAATTTTTTTTGGGAGTTGTTGAAAGAGGATATCGTGGGGATGGTAAAGTACTTTGAAGTGCATGGAAGGGTATCATGTGGGTGTAACTCCTCTTTTATATCCCTTGCGGCGAAATCTAAGGATCCAGTTCATTTCGGAGACTTCAGACCAATAAGCTTGATCGGGTCCATTTATAAAATTATAGCAAAACTGCTTGCAAATAGATTAAAAAGGTAATCGGCAGCATCATTGATGAAGTTCAATCTGAATACGTGGAGGGTAGAAACATATTAGAAGGGTCGATGATAGTTAATGAGCTTTGCTCATGGGCAAAGGCAAAAGGCAAAAAGATGCTACTTTTCAAAGCTGACTTCAATAAAGCATTTGATTCTGTAAATTGGGCATTCCTGGATTCAATCATGGAACAAATGGGATTTGGATTAAAATGGAGAATATGGATGAGCGGTTGTTTGGGATCCGGTAGAGCTTCGGTAATAATCAACGGTAGCCCAACTAAAGAGTTCTCAATGACAAAGGGAGTCAGACAGGGTGACCCACTCTCCCCATTCCTATTTATCATTGCGATGGAAGGGCTCAATCAAGCGATGAAAACAGCAGTGGATATAGGAATTTATGAAGGAATAAAATTTTCACAATCTAACATCTGCTTGTCTCATTTATTTTACGCAGATGACGCACTATTTATTGGAGAATGGTCGAGGAGGAACATTGCAAATTTAGCAAGAATCTTAAGATGTTTTTATGTGTCGTCAGGATTAAAGGTGAACTTCAGGAAGTCAAAGGTTTTTGGGGTAGGGGCATCAATTATGGAAGTATCAAACTGGGCAGCTCCTCTCGGGTGTGAACCTTCATCTATCCCATTCTATTATCTTGGAATTCCGGTGGGTGAAAACATGAATCGGAGGCGAGCATGGAGACCGATTATTGATAAATTCCAAGATAAGCTCACGACTTGGAAAGCGAAATCATTGAGCTTCGGTGGTAGAGTAACCCTTGCAAAGGCCGTCCTCGGTAACCTGCCTACATACTTTATGTCGATTTTTGCAGTGTTGAAAGGTGTCATCGACACATTGGAAAAAATCAGAAGGAACTTTATTTTGGAACAAGGAGTATGGGAAAAAAAGTATTTGCTGGGTTGCTTGGGATAAGCTTGTTTCTCCAAAAATGATTGGCGGAATTGGGCTTGGGTCGATTAAATCTCTCAATATTTCATTGTTAGCAAAATGGACGTGGCGATTGAAATCTGATGATTCAGCTTTGTGGGCGAAAACTATTCGATGTATTCATAATTTAGACGGAAGGCACTGGTCTGTTTTTGCTAATAGATCAAGTATCGGAGTATGGAAAAATATAACTAAATCCAGGTCGTTTCTACAAACGGTCAACATTGATCCCAATGAAATAATATCTTGGAACTTGAATGAAGGTCGTTGGACATCAGAATTTGTTTCTAACGGTAGCTTTATGGTAAATCGGTTACGTGAAAGGATCGAATTAGCTGGGTATGTGGTATGTGATGGACCGTTTAATTGGGGAAAAGCAACTCCGTTCAAGATTCTGTCATTCATGTGGAGAGCAAAGCAAGGAAAAATTCCATCCGCTATGACACTTAGTAAGCGTGGGATCCCTATCTCATCAACAAGATGTAGCGGTTACAACTTGGAAGAGGAGACATCTGACCACATTTTGATCACGTGCCCGAAGGCGACTACTGTCATAGAATTGATCCTAACTTGGTGTGAAATCCGTTGTGAAAGATTTACTTCGGTAAAGGATATGATACTTTTCGTTTCAAGGTGGTCAGGATGTAATAGGAGAAAGAGACTACTGAATATGATATTATGCGGAGCATTATGGTGCTTATGGTTGGACAGAAACAAACGGGTTTTTGAAAATATTCACGCATCACCGGTGATCACAATAGAAAGGATAAAAGCCTTAACTTTTACTTGGTGCAAACATAGAACTTCATGCAAAAAGGTTGATTGGATAGTGTGGAATTTATGCCCTTTTCTTTGTTTGTAATTTTCATTTTGTTCTTCTTTGTACTCTTTTACCCACATCATCTTGATGTGGTTTATTAATATATTTTCCGTTTTCCAAAAAAGACGCAAGAAGAAAACGTATACCTTCGACATATTAAAGTCGACATATTTAACATGCTTTCACATTACCCATGCATATATAAAAAGACTCGAAGGTTTTAAAGATTTTATCAAGATTATAACATCAACCTAAATACATCACAACAAAACAACTCTAGCTCATAGTATTTTTCATTTTATCCAAAACTCGGTAACACTGCAAAACTAAAGTGAATTGTTTTTTTGCTTCCTTCACCCGTGGTTTTTCCCATTTTGGGTTTTCCACGTAAACCCTTGTGTCTCTTTTATTTACATTTTCATTCGTATTTTATTGGTGGTAGATTACATTTGATATTTTAATTTCATTCCGCATCGAACTAATATTAGTCTAAATTACTCGGATTCTTGGGTCCTGTTTTCACACATGTTTTACTACAGGTGAGGTGGTGGTAGTGGTGGCGGTGGTGACAGGGTAGTGGTGGTGGTGATGACAGTGGTGGCGGTGATAGGGTAGCGGTGGATGTGATGGTAGGTCGGTTTTTACGGTAATGGTGTGTGTGTATGTGTTGTGGGGGTAGTGGTGGTGAGGTGTGTGTGTGTGTGTGTTGTGGGGGTAGTGGTGGTGAGGTGTGTGTGTGTGTGTTTGTGGGGGTGGGGGTGGTTGTGTGCATGTATGTGTGTTTGTGAGGGTGGGTGTGCGTATGTGTGTGTTTGTGGGAGTGGGGGTTTGTGTGTTTGTAGGGGTGAGTATGTGTGTGTGTGAGGTAGTGGTGGTGGTGTGTGTGTGTATTTTTGGGGGTGGGGGTGGGTTGGGGCGGGGCTTGGGAGTGGGTGGATATGGATGGGTTGGGGGTGTTAGGGTGAAGGTATGTAGAGGTGGGTGAGGTTGGGATGGATTTCTGTTTATATTTTTGAAATTTTCTGGAATTAGAAAAATATGAAAAACAATGATTATGGTTTTGCAAAATT